ATTCCCATAAATCTAAGGGGTTTCCCATAAATGGTTAAGGGTTTGGGTTTAGGGTTTAGGGTTTAGGGTTTAGGGTTTAGGGTTTAGGGTTTAGGGTTTAGTAAGGGGTTCCCATTCCCATAAATCTAAGGGGTTTCATCGTTCCTTGAAATTTCAATCCCGACACAGTCATGCAGGGGCCTAAATGATTGCCGATGCTAATTTTTGGGGGCTCCGTATTATAATGAGGGGTTCCGTATTATAACTAGAGTATCATGGGCCCCCAAGCCCTATTCTAATTATTAAGGCCCCTATAGTAACCGCCCCAGACCCAAACCCCAAGCCCAACAGGTTTGGACGTAGCTGGGCTTCGGCATCTCGCGCATCTTGCTTTAAAGCACGACTTTGAGGAACGCTGGAGCATGCCAAATTCGACATGGGATATGTTACCATAGCTTTCTATAGGGGCCCTGGGGCACCCTGTACTACAACTGCAGTAAGCACTACACGGGGACATGACGATCTGCGACAACTATTCCGACCCCTATGCCTAATATAGGGGCCATAATAATTAGAATAGGGCTTTGGGGGTATATTATAGTATAATTATCATAAGGAGCCCCCCAAACAGTATAAACCCAAACCCTATAAACCCTAAACCCTGAACCCTTAACCCTCAACCATGCGATACTTATCATAAGGAGCCCCCTTCAAATAGTATAGGTAGCTACTCCGACCCCTATGCCAACCTCGAACCGCAGCTTCGGCCCATGGAGCTCCGTTTCAGGGAGCCCTAAACCCCACACCATGCTTAAGCGGCTCTTTTAGGGTTTAGGGTTTAGGGTTTTAGTGTTTTTAGGGTTTTTAGGGGTTAGGGCTTTAGGATTTAGGGTTTTAGGGCATAGGGCTTTAGGGTTTAGTGTTTTAGGGTTTAGGGCTTTAGGGTTTAGGGAGGGTTTTAGGGTTTAGGGTTTAGGGTTTTAGGGTTTAGGGCTTTAGGGTTTTAAGGCTTAGGGTTTTAGGGTTTAGGGTTTTAGGAGGATTTACGGTCTAAACAAGCTCGAACCCGAAGACCCAAAACAAAAGCCTGAAGACTTTTTCGACCTTCGCCCAATATTCCCAATCTTCCAAACCCTAACCGCCCACCCCCCTTTCCCCCCTGCAACCCCCCGCCAGGAAGCTCAGGGCATCGCTAATCCTCACGAGGCACTTGAGGGGTCTCTCAAAAGGAAGAGCTTCGGGTTTAGGGTTTAGGGTTACGGTTTAGGGCTTCAGGGTTTAGGGTGACTCATGTTTTTGACTTGGTACACTTCTGGGTGTGTTAGGGTTTTGGGTTTCGGGTTTACAGGGCTGATAGGATTTGAGTTTAGGCTTTAGGGCCTCGTGAAGCTAAGTGCTTAGGGTTTTGGGTCTGGGGCAAGTCATGGAAAGTCGTAGCCAGTAATATAGGGGCCTTAGCAATTCGAACAGGGTTTGTGTTAGGGTCACCTAAAACGTCTACCGTACATGTTCCATATACAGAGCTTTAATAATTTTAGTCGGGCTTTGGGCTATACTACAACATGACTGTTGTATATAGTTGCTACAAGGGGATAATCAACATTTGTTTAGTTTTTCTTAGGCTTTCAAGTCGTGTAGGGTCTGTATTCGGGTTCGCTTAAGTTGCTGAAGCCTCATACAGGTGTGCATGATCTTCTCCTAGCATGTCTTGAGATCTCGCACAAGAGTTTCACTGGTGTGGGGTTCGGGGTACAAGGAAAGGAGTTCAAAGTTTCGGGTTCAAGCCCCAAGCACCCAAAACCCAAGGCCCTAGACCCAAACCCTCAATCCTAAACCCCAAACCCCTAAACCCCCAAAGCCTACACCCCAAACCCTCAAACCCTGAACCCCGGACCCCCCCAAAACCCCAAACCCTTGCAGAAACCTTAGGGTTCAATGTTTATCCCTCTAGAGCCCTTTGTCGCTCCCCTACCGAACTCTCTAAGAACCCTCATTCAGAACCCTGAACCCCAGACCCTAAACCCCTAAACCCTAAACCCCAAACCCTAAACTGTAAACCCCTAAACTCAAAACCCCTAGACCCTAAACCCCTAAACTAAACTCCAGGTGTCCTATCCAGCGCCGTCTCGCACTGCTTGAGGCGGCCGAGGCTCACCTGTCAGCTTCGGGTATGAGGGTTTAGGGTTTAGGATTTAGGGTTTAGGGTTTAGGGTTTAGGGTTTAGAGGTTTAGAGGTTTAGAGGTTTAGGGTTTAGGGTTTGGGAGTTGCGGGGGGTTAGTGGTTTAGGGGTTTAGGGCTTTGGATTTTGGGGGTTTAGGTTTTAGTTGCAAGGGGTTTCGGGGTTTAGGGTTTGAGGTGTATATGGAGCTTCTGGCGTTTACTGGGGATATGGGTTTGGGGTTTTGGCTTTGAGGATTTATGGAGGGTTTATGGCTTAATAGGGGTTTCCGGTTTAGGCTTTGAGGTTAAGGGTCTGCAGAGGGTTTATGGTTTGATTGGGTTGTGGGTTTTGAGTGTGCAGTTTGAAGGGTTGTATGTCGGGCTAGAATATAGGAGTTATAAAGCCTACACTCTAAACCCTAACGTTGGGGGGCCGAGTTTAGGGTAGGGGGTTCGATGGGTCGTGGTGGATCGATGGTTTTACTGCGCCTCTTGGTGTGGTGTAGAGCTTTAGGGCTCTAAAGGGCTTGGAAGGGCTTTATACCCTTCTGAGGAGCTCAATAGAGCGGCCCCATCTTAGAACTTTATAGAGAAACCCTAAACCCTAAACCCTTCTGGGATTTATCCGAGACTTCTAGAGCTTCCTAGGGTTGCAGCGAAGGATTTCGGGTTGAAGGATTTCAGGATTCCGGGATGGAGGGTTTTGAGGCTTCAGCCTTGATGTGAACAGTTCTTCACGGTTTAGGGTTTAGGGGTTTCGGGTCAACCTTGCTTAGGGCTTAGGGTTTCGGGTCAACCTTGCTTAGGGCTTAGGGTTTAGGGTTTAGGGTTTAGGGGTTCAGGCTTCAGGGGTTTAGGGTCTAAGGTTGAGGGTTTAGGGCTGAAGGTTTAGGGTTTAGGGGTTTAGGGTTTGGGGTTTCTCCAGGCTAGGAGATCTGATGAGACTTCGTCATTTCGTGCGCTCATGCTGCAATGCAAAACACGTGCAATGGCTGGAGCCGGCCTTAAGAAAAAGACTAGGGTATCTAATATATCCGCAAACTCTAAAGCGTGCATAACTTTCTGGGGCCGGTTTAGGGACAAGTCTTGCAGAGACGTACCTTCGGGTGCATGCCAGTGTATGCCTTAAATTGAGCTTCTAAGGTGCAGGGTTTTGGGATAAGTCTCGCATTTACGGGCATGGGGCAGCATTCGTTCAGCAGGTCCCCTGTTCAACCGAGATGTGGATGCCACCTATAGATCCCTCATCAACCCTATCAGAACCCTGAATCAAGGGGTTTAGGGTTCAGGGTTTAATCAAACCCTGAACCCTCCTACACCCCGAATTCTCGAATCCTGAATCAGGATTCGAGACCCTAAACCCCAAACCCTAAACCGCACCTCTCCACGGATGAAGAATGGTGCCAGGATGCACATGAACAGCACCTGCGGCAGCGGTAAGGATTGGCTTCCTCTGCGGAGAAACGGAGCCCTGGTCCTGAATCTTAGGCTTTGAGGGTGTAGGACTTCAGGTGTTTAGGGTCTAGGGCTTCGGGTTCAAGGTTTAGGGTTTCGGGTTTGGGGGGGTTAAGACTTTAGTGGCTAGGGCTTTAGCATTACGTAGGACTTTGAAGCTAATGGGCTTTTAGGGTTCAGGACTTTGGTGGTTTCGAGCTTTGGGGGGGTTCCAACCTCTTCGAGCTTCACTACGGCTTTGTCCGAGAACGGCCCGCCAGGACGGATACGGCACAGGCGAACGCACATTCCTCAGAATGAGTAACACAACAAACCCGCCCCTGTCCCTTAGACAGGCCGTCTTTACAAACAGAGGGCTGCAGAAGACCCGAAACAGCTTTCTTCAGCTTTTGACACAGGAATCTACGGTTGAAACCATGGTCCCCCAGTATGGGCCCTTAAGCCTGGGATTCTTATACACCTACGGAAAAACCCCCTTGTCAAACCCAAAAACCCGCAAACCCAAGAACAGCCCAGCAACAACTCGAGTCTTGGCCTCTCGAAACCCCTCGATGGAACTCCCCTCGAGCCCTTAAAACAAACAATAGACGAAGAACAATAAATTAAACAAGCCCCTACAGAGCGCCGCATACGGAAAAAACCTAAACCCCTAACGCCGGGTCCCTAACCCCACGCCCTTTGGCCTCTCGAAGGGGGCTGTACCACTTTTGGAAGATTCCCAGACGCTTCTCTAGGAGCATGGAGAGCCTTTGCCGTTCTTATGGTGCTGGGGGCGGGTTTAGGGTTTGGAGTTAAACCCTCAACCCCAAACCCTAAGCTTAGGGTGTAAGGATGATTAGGGGTTTAGCGTTGGTTTCCTGGGCTTTAAATGGAGTCTCGAGGACATTTTGTTAGCCTGCTGTTAGGGCACTGAAGGGCATTTAGGATATAACTCGTTCTTTTGCTTTGTCGGGCGCAGGGTTGTAGTGTTTTGGGCTTCGTTTGGCTTAAGAGTCTAGGCTTCAGCAGTCTGAGGTTTAGCTCTTTTTGGCTTAGGCTATGAATGAGGTTTAGGGTTTAGGGTTCACGGGCTTGGGGTTTAGGGCTCAAGAGTTTCACGTTGCTTTCGTGCATAAGAGCTTTCGGGCTGCATTGCCGGGGTTTTGTTGGGGCTGACAAGGGCTTAACATGCACCCCCCCTAAACCTCTAAACCCCTAAACCCTAAACCCCTAAACCCTAAACCCTAAACCCTAAATCCTAAACCCTCAACCCCTAAACCTAAACCCTAAACCCTAAACCCTAAACCCCTCAACCTCTAAACCCTAACCCCTAAACCTCTAAACCTCTAAACCCTAAACCCTAATCCCTCCATCAACTGCAGGATTCCCTGCTCCGACGAAGCTCCTGAAACCGACGAACATACCTCAAATTAGGCAGGAACCCTGCATATGATCTGGGTAGTTCTAGAAATTAGGATCCCTTTGCAGGTCCCCAAAATAGTGCGGCAGCCTTTAATCCAAAGAACCTGATAGTGACCCTGATTTAGTGAACTACCCCATATGGGTGGTTGTCAAAATTATGGTCCCTTTTTGGGTCCTTATTATAATACGGCACCTATTATTTAGGGTACCCCAAAAGGGACAATAATTTTGACAACCACCCATATGGCTTAGGGCCATACTCCTGCTTTAGTGTCTCACTCCGACTCTCAACCCTGGCACAGCGAAGCCCCAGACCCGAACCCTCAGACGCTAAAACCACACATGCTGAACCTTTAAGGAACCCTAGCCCTAAACCCTAAACCCAAAACCCTAAACCCAGAACCCTAAACGTTAAACTTTTTAAACCCTAAGGCTGTTCTGCCGCAAGCAGGAATCCTGAAGGTTTAACCCACACACTCCAAGCCTAAGGCTTACCTAAACACCTTAAGCCTTCTGTGAACGCCCAACGCTGAAACCACGAAGTACCATGCACCCGCCATGCACCCCAAACCTGAAAACCTGAAAACCTTAAGCCAACAAGTTAGGGCCAAGCGTTCAACCCCAAAGGTATCACAAACCCCTCAACCTTGAAGCCGTTTAGGGTATAGGGTTTAGGGTTAAGGGTATGGGGTTTAGGGAGTTCATGCCAAGCTGCCAGGTGTTCAGCTTTATCCGCTCAAAGCGATGCTGCAACCGGCCAAGCTCCGCCTGTGCAGTTCTTTTTGGGGTTTAGGGTTTAGGGTTTAGGAGAGGGGGGGGGTGGCGTGCGCCTTGCGTCTTGCCAAACGTCTCCTGCGTAGTTCCTTCCGTAGATTTTGGGATCCCATAAGGTAGCCCAAGACAAGAAGTTACTGAGTTGGGCACAAATGATAGTAACCTGTACCCACAGTCCCCATAGTACTTCCCTTCTTCATATTTGGGATCCTACAAAGTAACCCGATCAAGGAACTACCCTAAACCCTAAACCCTGAATCCTTAAACCCCAAGGAACTACGATGGAGAGTATAGGTAAGGCTTACGGGCCTTTTTGGGATCTTGCGGCTCAGGGCTTGGAGCTTCGCTCTAGGCTTTTTGATGAGGTTTAGTTTAGGGGCTTAGGGTTAGAAGGGTTTCGGGTTTAGGGATTTAGGATTTAGGGGTTTGGGGTTTACGGGTTTAGTGCCTAGGGGTTTTTAGGATTTAGGGGTTTAGGGTTTATGGGTTTAGGAGTTTAGGGGTCTACAATTTAGGGCTTAAGGTTGTGGTGGTTTGAAGCTTTACGGTTTAGGGCTTAGGGCTTACTGCCTCTGGGTGGCGGATCAACTCCGGGTGACCTATGAAGCCACGAGTATGGCCGTGAAGGTCTAGGGCTAGGGTTTTTAAGTGTTTTAGTTTCAGTGTAGGGCATGCGCCCGGGATATCTTCTGCTTGGAGGTTCATGGGTAGTTATAAGTGAGGTTATAAGTAAGGTAACTATAGTTATAACCCTTATTAGGGGACTTATAACCCCACTTATAACTACCCATGAACCTCCAAGTACTGTGATTAGTATGAAACCCTCAACCAGGAACCATTGCAGGATTGAAGAAGGTTCCGGGGTGAAGCTCGAGCCACGAACGGGGCCATAAACCCCCTCTCAAAAAATATATTTGGGTCCTGACAAAACCGTTCCAGAACAGTGCAGCAGAACCTACCCATAGGCCCCATAGTAGTTCCTTTTTGGGATTACCTGATAGGATCCTAAATAATTATAAGCCACAAAAAGGAACTACTAGGGGGCCTATGGGTATAAGCAACCTTGGCCGAAGAAGATACCCAACTAACTCTAAACCCTAAACCCTAAACCCTAAACCCTAAACTCCGAAACCCTAAACCCTAAACCTTTAAACCCTACACCCTAAACACTGTGAAAGTGCTTGACCCGAGCCTAAGGTCTCTCTGGCCAAGGCTTTGAAGTTCATACTGTACTTGGAGGTTCAGGGGTAGTTATAACTGGGGTTATAAGTAGGGTAAGTATAATTATAACCCAAATTCGGGGACTTATAACCATACTTATGACTACCCATGAACCTCCAAGTAGGGGCCTTAATAATTAGAATAGGGTTTTGGGGCCCACTATACTATAAACATAATAAGGACCCCCCCAAAAAAATAATAATGTAGGTAATTGTGAGGGCCCCTATATTACTCCAATCAGGGCCCCTTACACAACCTCTACCTTCCCGGAGGGGCGCAATGCTGTTTGATGGCCGAAGGCATCTCTTCGGGGCTGGGTGCACTTGCCTTAAAAAAAAAGGTTACTGCTTTAGGCAGTGTAGCATTATACAACCCCCCTATCTAAACCCCCAAAAGGGTAAAGGTTGCTAGCTCAGATACAGCTACTACTTTGTAAAGGTCCCGATATTGAACCCGAAATAACTTCTCAATCCCCGAAAAAGACCTACGAACCTCCTAATCCGCTCTAGCTGAAAACGTCGACTTGCAGTATACGTCGGAAGGCCCTCAACCCTAGACCTCTAAAAATTAAAGCCTAAGCCCTAAACCCTAAACATAAACCCTAAACCCTAAACCCTAAAAATAAGCCCTAAACACTAAACCCCTAAACCCTAGACCCTGAACCTCACTATGGAAAGCTCGGAAGGGCCTCTTCCGACCGGAGACTGGCGACGGTTTCACTCTGGTCGTAGACTCGCCTCAGGGGTGATGGAAAACACGACTTCAAGAATAGCAACAATAATCGTATCGATACTTGTTTTTACTACTATGACTATGACTATGCCTATGACTACGACTGCTACTACTACCTACTACTACTACTACTATTATTATGACTACTACTACTACTACTACTACTACTACTACTACTACTGCTACTACTACTGCTTCTATTGCTACTACTACTGCTTCTATTGCTACTACTGCTACTACTGCTACTAGTGCTACTACCACTGCTACTACTACTGCTACTACTACTACTACTACTACTACTACTACCACTACTGCTTATTATGACTACCACCACGATTACGGTTCTGACTTCTAGTAACTTTCTTTGGTCTTGTTGTCATGATCATCGTGTGAATGATTCGTCGCAGTCTCGTACTGGACGCTCGAGCTCTGGGCTACGGCTCGGAGAGTCCTCCCTAAACCCTAAACCCTAAAACCCTAAAGCCCTAAAACCCTGAACCCTAAACCCCCAAACCCTAAAACCTAAACCCTACAAGGATTCATTGAAGGGTTCAGGGCTGAAGGGTGTAGAGGGTTTAGGGAGTCTGGGCTTAAGAGGGTCTACCATAAGGGTTCGATAAGGATTCTATAGGGTTTAGGGTTTAGGGTCCTGTGATCTAAAGTGCTTCAGAGTCTCAGGGTTTTTGTCGCATGTTAAATGGGTAGTTCTCAAAATTAGGGACTCGTTTTAGGCACCCCAAATGTACTACGGCACCCTTATAAACAGGATCCCAAAAGGGATCCGAATTTAGAGAACTACCCAAATGGCTTCTCAGAGGTTGGACCTTGGCAGGGTGCAGGGCTCCAGGCTTCCGGTGTTGAAAAGGGTTTGATGTTTAGGGTTGGGGTTTAGGGTTTAGGGTTTAGGGTTTGGGGTTTAGGGTTTAGGGTTTGGGGTTTAGGGGGTCCATGTAGAGGGATGGTGATCCGAGCAGCAATCTGAAGGGAACCTGTCGAGCGGAAAAGCCCTGAGGCTCCTGAGGCATGCGGTTTAGGGTTTAGGGTTTAGCATAGGACCCCAAGAAACGCTTCTCTCAGCCGGCTTTTGGAGTTGATCCCCCTAATCTTCCGCTAGACCCTTATAATATGCCTTATAAGCTGTAGAAACCCTAAAAACACCCTTCGGATCTTCGAGAAGAAAACACTCCATGCCACCCAGCTGCCGCAGCTCTGCACGGAAGTCGCCCCCAAGCCGTTCCCCCAGCCTCTGCTGCAAGACTTTGAGGTTTAGGCCTGAGGGTGCTTGTGGCTTTAGGGCTTCAGGGTTCAGAGTTGTGGAGGCTAACGTAGGGGCCTAAATAATTGCCAATAGTATTTTCGGGGTTCCTCATTATAAACAGAGTGTATAATGGGCCCCAAACACCCTATTCTAATTACTAAGGCCCCTGTATAAAGGCTTAAGGAACTTTGTCGGGATTTCTGGAGTGCTATGAGTTGAGATTTTGTTGCTTTGGAGGCCGTAAGAGTCAGGAGTTTTTGAAGGTGAGGGCTTGGGTGGAGGGGTTCTTTCTCTTGACAAGGCCAGCAAGATCGAAGTACTTGGAGGTCCATGGGTAGCTATAAGTAGGGTTATCAGTCCCGAACTATGGGTTATAACTATAGTTGCCCTACTTATAACCGCATTTATAACTACCCATGAACCTCCAAGTAGGTGCGTTTCTTACTGCTAGTCCTCTCCTTGTCGTTGTCACCACTGTTCAGCATGCTGTCCATAAGTCGCTGACAAGGCCTTCGCGGGCTTTAGGGCTGGGTCGTCGCGAAGTGCGACTAGGCTTCAAGCACGAAGATCTTCGTCCCCATTCTCATCAGTGCCACCTTCATCCATATTATCATCAACGGTCCTTCAATAAACGTCTACTGAGATGTGACAATCATGCCACTGAATAGACAGCTGCATCATCAGGACCTAAACTTCATCCTTAAACACGGCGGCGCAAACAGGCAAACAGAATTAGGCAGGACCGCAAAAACCAACCCTAAACCCGAAGCCTTGATCCCTAACCCTAACCCCTGACCCTAGTTCGTTAACCCTAAACCCTATTAAACTATTATGCATCCTACATCCTGTGAATCCTAGACCCTGTACCCTAAATCAGAATAACAAGCAAGCAGCCAGCTGTAATGTGCTAGCTCGGAGCCCAAGAGGTGCATGACCTGGGAAAAGCATTCGGTGACGAGTTTGGGAAAAGGGCTTCCAGTACTGATTGGCGACTTTTCTCATATACGATACTTTGAAGGGTTTTTACGAAGTATAATTTGATAGGGAGGCCAAAATCATTGGAATAGGGTGCAGGATATGTTTGATCGAAGCTAAACATAGGGTCATAGGGGCTAGAAGAGAATGATATCTCTAAAGCAAAGTTTTGAAGGCAAGACGCTTTAAGACTTAGGGTAAGGAAATTTCAATGTTTCGTCCTTCTTCCGGTTCAGACGTTGAGCATGAAGTTGTTGGATGCTATGGGGTCAGTCAATCAATCAGGTTCGAAGTCTTGCTTTAGAGCTTAGGGTTTAGGGGTTCAGG